CTAGTAGCGATGCCAGGAGTCCCTAGTAGCGTTCTTGTTCCTAGTAGTAAGGCCAGGAACCCCTAGTAGCAGCGTCCTTGCTCCTAGCAGCGATGCCGGGGGTCCCTAATAGCTTCTTGTTCCTAGTATATAGTAAGGATGTGTTGAGTTCAACCGTTTCGGTTTCCGCTTTTCGTGTTTTTTTTTTTCTGCACTGCAAAGTCTTGGAGACACCGAGCTTTGACCATCTCTGAGCCTCCACGTCCAGGACATGCTCGAAGGGATCCATGTGCAACCGACGACGTTGATGGGGAGGCGAGGGGCTCTGAAAGTACTGTGGGCAGGACGTCGTGTTGGACAAGAACTTGCCAGAGCAGATGTGAAGCGTTTTGTTTCATAAAACCACACGGAAATCATTTTGTCTGGTTCGACCCGAGGCCAAGTCGGCAGGACGGGTGACGAAACGGGGTGAAAGAACGATTGCTTCCAAGAGCATTTTAAACTGTTTTGTTTGGAAGAGAACTGGTCCCAGTAGAAAGCTTTCTGAGAACTGCTCCGAGTGGTAACTCGTGGTAACTCGGAGGCTTGCTGCTGCATAGACGGCAATTATGAGTTCCCCGTGGAGCAGATCTGACGACGCGAGTCGAACCTGAAAGGTTTGGCGCGAGCCGCGCTGAAAGAAGCTTTACTGAATAGGTGTCTTAGTGTCGCAGTTGTGGCTTAGCATCAGCACCTTGTGCGCAGTGAATATCTTCGAACAAGAATCGGACGTTTCAACAGTTAAAGCGAGAATGCCCTCAGTCGGCCTCGTCAACACAGCCTTGCGCATGTCATGACGAGTCCTATCGGCAAGGTGACCCAGTGGTTGCCACATGGGCCTTGCGCCATGCGCTTGACGCAGGATGCAACCGATGCATGATATGCATGATGCGCCGTTGCGCAGCTGCGTTCCAAACCACCTGAGGTGGTAGTGGTGATGTGCAGTGTGAAATTCAAAGTGCACCTGAGGTGTTTTCCCTTTTTGCATCGAATCAAACAATGAAAAACATCCATGTGCTGAGTCGTCCGCAAACTCACTCTAAGTCGGCGAGAAAGCAAACTGCCAAATATGCAACATTGCGATAGTGGATTACATTGAGAGTTTCTTTAGGCGAAGAGCTTCCGAGTGATGCGAAGTTGAGGACGGAAAGACTAGATGGAGATTTTGCACACCCTTGCACTCTTTTACTAGGAACAAGAACGCTAGTAGGAGCAAGTGCATCGCTTCTAGTAACAAGTGCCTTACTAGTAGTAACAAGAAGCTATTAGGAACAAGTGCCACGCTAGTAGTAACAAGTGCCTTACTAGTAGTAACAATGTTTGCTATTAGGGGCTCCTGGCCTTTGTTGGAAACTGTAGATCCTGGAGGAAAGACCATGCATCCCTTGCGCGCGTTTTAAGCTTAGAAAGTTGCTTTGAATGACCGTACTTTGAAGCTATTATTTCTTTGCTTGCTTGCTTGTTTTTTTTTTGCGTTGGTTTGTTTTGCTTGCTTGTTGTCAACTTCGACTCTGCTGTCATTTTTCCACGTGGCCGAGGCTGAGAACGCAGTCCAAAGAGACCCAGGGACGACATGAAGACTCTGATGAGGACCTTCCAGGTGCTTAAGACGAAACTAGTAGTAAGGCCAGGAGCCCCTAGTAGCTTGTTGTTACTATTTGTTACCAGTAGTAAGGATGCTCCTAGTAGCGATGCCAGGAGCGCCTAGTAGCGTCCTTGTTCCTAGTAGTAAGGCCAGGAGCCCCTAGCAGCTTCTTGTTAATGATATGATATGTTGTGTTTAAACGATGGCCGCCAACCTACTAGTGATGGCTGCCAAGCTGATCTTTTTAAACTGTGCTGAATTCCTGACAGATTCCTTGCAGGTGCTGGTCTTATGCAAAGGGAAAGGACTACTTCAAGTTGCGGAACAGAAGGACCTCACCGACACTTCTGCCCCACTGGCAAGTTTTCTCCAAAAAGCAGGGCAATCTCTATGATCTAAGCTTTGAATCATTCGATCCAGGTTCTCGCCGGAGCAGCGCTGCTTTCTCAGCAAACGATGTTTGATGATTTGGTTTCTGAAAGACCTTTTTTTCTCACCACACATATCTGCAGAGTGCTTCTCATGTATGATTTTGACCCGCAAAAGCAAAAAGAAACCGTAGTTAGTTGGTGTTTGGTCATGTCTGTCATGCAAAGCTAGTAGTAACAAGTGCATCGCTAGTAGTAACAGGTGCATCGCTACTAGTAACAAGAAGCTAGTAGTTTAATTCTTGTTTCTAATAACGATGCTTTCCAGGTCGGTTGACAAGTCGCGTTCCGAACGTTCGGATTCGTGTCAAGGATTCGTCCGCAGGGAGCTCGGTCGGTTACCCGTATCAAAAGCCATAGCAGTTGGAAAGCATGGGAAGATGTGGGAAGACAGGTAAACAGTTAAGAAATGGTCGTTGATGCTGATGTTAATGAAAAATGAAGTCCAAACCACCTCGAACAAAGAGCGTTCTTGTTCAACAAGCGCTCTTCAGGTTCTTCTTTTTGTTTGAATCCTCTAGGCTTTTTTTGGTTTCTTTCTTTCTAATTCCTTTGGCCTCAGTGACTTTTCGATGTTTGATCTGCTTGACTACTTGATGCTGCCTTGCTCGTGCTTCCAAGCGCACAAGGCTGCTGGAGACAGCAAAGATGCCACCTTAGATATTGCCACCGAAAGCTTGGTTACTTTCGTTTGCTACAGTGAGTGTAAACAGCTGCAGCTTGATTTATACACTGTTTCTGGCACAAGTGCAACTGTAAAATCCTTGGTGCCCAGGAATGCATGTCACCACTTTCGATTGGTTTCCTGGTAGACCTTGCCAAAAGCAGCACTCAAGCACATTGGGCCACATTGTGAATGACAGAAAAGCCACATCAAGCTCTTCACTAAACTCGAACTTGTGAAGCCAATATATGAGCTGAAACCAAGGGCTTAATTGTTCGCTTAGCTTGATTTTATTTGGCTGCAGCTTCTGACAGTGGCGCTTCAGGATTTTTTACAGTCAGTGCCAGATTCTTCGCCGCTTTCTGTCCATGCCTTGGCTCCACCAAGATCTACGAAAAGGAACAACATCTGACACTAATAGCCATGGCCTGATACCTACTAGTGATGGCCTCTAACCTAATAATCCGAATAGCAATGGCCTCCATCTACAAAAAGGAAACACATGACCCTTCAATGACGTTCAGTTTATGAAAATCGGATAATGGATTCACCTGATGGACATAGCAGACACCTGTTGCAAGGACGCTACTAGGGGCTCCTGGCCTTACTACTAGTAACAAGAGGACGCTACTACAACCTCCTGGCATCGCTACTAGGAGCAAGGACGCCAGTAGGGGCTCCTGGCCTTACTACTAGCAACAAGAGGACGCTACTTGGGGCTCCTGGCATCGCTGGTAGGAGCATCCTTGCTACTAGTAACAAGTTGCTAACAAGTTGCAGATGTTTGCTCCGAGGAAAAGCCCGTCTGCTTTGACCCGTCTGCTTCCTCCCGTCGCCTCGAGGCCGATGGGTTCCGCGGGTGTTCTGTGGTCGGACTTGAGGGATCTTGTTACTAAGTAACAAGCCCTAGGGCCCCTAGTAGCTTCTTTGTTCGGGATGCCCTCGTAACGCCCGATCGCTCCTAGGAGCTGGTGGGACGACGGCGCCGGGAAACTGAAATGCTGTTTCAGCGGTGGAGACTGCGCTCATGGCACCTCAAAAGGCAATTGCCGTCTTTTTCATCACTCCTCATAGAACTGACAGGCTTCGCCAACCTGCGAAGCCCTTGGGGGGACTGCGCGTATCCCCAGGGTCTTTGTGCAGCAAAATCGACGATTAGCACAGCTTCTTACGCCTGCGCATACACACTCCTACACAGGTGTGCGCGCGAGGGTCTGATGGAAAAAGCCTGGAAACCTCAGCTTCAGACACTCGTACGCACATGCACACGCACCCGCGCGCGCTCGCACTCGCGCACACGCACTCGCGCGCACTCGCACTCGCGCTCGCGCGCGCGCGCGCGCACGCACACGGGAGCCGCGCGCGCGTGTGGGTGCGGGCGCGCCCAATGTTTTAGACAAAAAGACTTTTTTTTTCGCTTTCCACATTGGGATACCTATCAAAAAGAAAATTGATTCCTATCAATAAAAAAAAGTGTTTCCTATCAAAAAACATTAATTCGTATCAAAAAGAAAATTCCCTCTACTCCTTTGGTCCTGGCCTGCTGCAGTCCCTGATCGCTTGGTCCTTTGCTCCCTTTTCCTGGTCGCTGGTCCCCTGGTCCCTTGTTCCCCCTGGTCCCTTGGTCCTCTGGTCCCTTGGTCCTCTGGTCCCTTGGTCGCCTGGTCCCTTGTCCTTGGCATCCTCTGGTCCTTCGTCCTGGTCTTCGGGTCCTTGGGTCTGCACTTTCGAGGCAAGACGCGTTGAAGGTGATTTGGAAATTTGGTCATACATCCTGTGAAGCACTGTAGCAGACCTTTTATCACCAGACGTAGCAGACCTTTTTTGTGAGCCACCCTGACGGTAAAAAGTGAATGAAGAAGGTGCCATTCCAAGGTAGCAAACCTTTTGTCAGCCACTTGAGGGCAAAATTTAGAAGAAGAAGGAGCCATTCCAACGTTGCAGACCTTTTGTTAGCCTTGCGAGGTAAAATCCAACGTAGCAAGCCTTTGTTTTGTGAGCAACCGCGCCAATCTGCACTTCGAGGTTCAAGTGCTGCGCCTGCAATGAAATCTGCAGTTCCAGTGCACAAAGTGCTGCGCCTGCCACGAGCCCTGCAACGGAAGGTGCTCAAAGTGCTGCGCCTGCCACGAAATCTGCAGTTCCAGTGCGCACAGCGCCGCTCCTGCCACAAAACCTGCCACTGGAGGTGCTCAAAGTGCTGCGCCTGCCACGAAATCTGCAGTTCCAGTGCGCAAAGCGCCGCTCCTGCCACAAAACCTGCCACTGGAGGTGCTCAAAGTGCTGTGCTTGCCACGAAATCTGCACTTCCAGTGCGCCAAGTGCCGCTCCTGCCACGAAATCTGCTACTGAAGGCGCTCAAAGTGCTGCGCCTGCCACGAAATCTGCACATCCAGATTCACATCGCGCAGCGCTGCCAAGGCGGTTCGCAGTGGCAGGCGCAGCTCTTTGTGAAAGGATATTTTTTTTCATACTAATTAAGTTTCTTTTTGATAGGATATAGAAAATTTTCTTTTTGATATATATATATATATATGGGAGTTGATCGAAAACCCCGTGTAAGGAGTTTTATATAAAACAGCCTTTCAGATGTTGTTAGAACCATCCGCGAAAGATTCGCGATGAGGTTCGCGAAAGTATCTTTTTTTTCCGCGAAAGATTTATCGAAGGTCATCGCTTTCATTGTTTTCCTTTCTACCGGACTGACAAAGAATAGAAACGCAAGGCAATCCTCCGGCAGAGCCAGTGGGCGGAAGTGTCCCCATATGTCACAGACTAACGAACTGAAGCCTCAACATTTCCGTGCCGAGCCCTGGCAGTGCGTAAAGGATTCTCCGATTCCTGTCCCCACTGTCACAGGCTAGCAATCTGGGTAGGCACAGCCCTGACAGTGAGGCAACGACCTGCAGCTGCTCTGACGGGCTGCGCAGATGTTTGCAAATGTTACGGCTTCCCGGGGAAAGCACCAGTGAAATTTCGCGAAAGATCCGCGAAAGTTTCGCGAATGTGCCGCTAAAGTCTAGGTTCCCAGCTTGAGGCCCCCCAACATTCCCCAAGCTGTATCACCCTGTGTTGGTAGCTGGCACGAGGATTGGGTTGAGTTGTGCCTGACTCTATTTGGCACAATTGTCGAACAGATGCTGCAAGTGACCCTGAGTAGCTGTGGAAACGTTCAACCATCTACTGGGGTCATGCTGCAAGATGTCTCTCCCTATTTTGTGATACTATGACATGTTCCGGCTCCTGTTGGCTAGACATGGTTGTAGGACCATGCTTCGCGATGAGGCCGCGAAAGATCCGCGAAAGATATCTTTTTTCCGCGATGAATGGCCATTCCAGGATGAAAGAATATTGATCAACCACCATATATTTATTTATTTTCTTTTTGATAGCCCGGCCGCTTTCCACCACAAAGGCCTGATGCTTGAAGAAGCCCAGGTGGTGCTAGAAATGTCGGCAGCAAGCCGACCTTTTGAACATCACCAGGACGTATGCATTTACTTGAAAAAACGTCAAAAGCAGAGGAAAATGATAAAACAAAGGCAACTGTGGAGCTTTTTGTTTCAAAAACTCTAGAACATAAAGCATTCAAAATGGAGACAAACTTTGAGGGCAAATTTTGGTCGAGCATCACTAGCATGAGCAGAGTCTCAGCAGGAAAGATGCAAATCCTTTGGTGCATGACTAGGTGCAAACCAGTGTAAATTATGGTGATGCTAGAAATACGGGTCGGCGGCATGGAGCACGTCTCCGTATGGCAAGCTAGGCTTGATACCCCCACCGGATCGGCTTCGCCAGATGGGCTAACGCCCAGGTGCCGCCGACCCCTATGTGGTTCAGTCAATCAAAGCAAAGAGGTGCAACTTGCAAATACGAAGCGGACACATGATGTCTCTCAAATGTTGCTCATAAGTTGCCAGACAGCATGAGTTTCAATTGCCTTTGGAAAGCCAACCGCGCTTGAGTAAACCGTGTAAATTTACCAGCGCTGCCTCGTGAACATGTTCACAAGCACGACACTTCCACCAAGATTCCTATTCCCTTCACTGCGCCCCCTGCTCTTAGCACCGACGCGTTCCAAGGCAAGAGTCCAGCCTCCATCCTGCCCACCCTAGTGGCATGGCCCTATGGGCCCTAGACGCCCTATAAGCGATGCCAACGCCTCAGTGTCGCCACACCGACACACCCTGGCCGTGGAGGTTTCAACCGGTCTGGGGGCGAGCTTTGGCCAGTGTCTAACGTCGCCTTCGGAACACCATCAATACAGTAGTGTAGGATGAGCCCCAGCTACCTGCGAAAAGCAGCCCGCGGCCGCGGGGCATGAGCCACCAAAGCTCGCCACACCAAAGCCCTGGCCCTGGAGGTTTCGGGGCTGGGAGCGACCTGGCTGACTAACGTTGCCTTCGGAGCACCCTGGAAACTGTAGTCGCGGATGAACCACAGCTACCTGCGAAAAGCACCGCTTCGCCCGGACACCATGTGAAAAACTCAGTCTAGGCGTCAGCTAGGCAGGGGTCGGCGGATTTTCTTTGTCAACGTGTGTTGACACTTACATCACTTCTTTCTTCGGAATGAGGTCGAATTCAGGCGGTCTCACGCAAGTTTCGGAGAGCGTCCAGGTCTTATTATTTCCCAGACCTAGCCGTCCAGGTTGACCGACTCGGCTCATCCAACATTTGGCTGCCAGAGCTCAACAGTCTGGTCGCAAGTAAATTTGGTTCTTTGCGAAGCCCTTGAGGCTTCCCAGCTTTCGTTCTGAATTCAAATCCAGAGCTGCCGAGGAGGCGCGTGAACTGTAGAAGTGTGACCAGACATTTTGGAGGAGAATGCTTGGATAAATTTTGGAAGGAAGGCAGCTGGAGACATATCGAAGCCTTGTGAGTTCTGACCCATAGGTCCTCTCTTCCCTTCCCTTTCAGCCATGCAAGATGGTGAAAAGGACTGTTGGGCATCTGCTCCCACAAGTCACCTAAAGCCTGTATATACTTTAGTTAATAGATGAGTGTTTTGCACAGTAGACTGGAGGACCAACATGCGATTTTGCATTTTCACATTTGCTCATTGCCACGTTTGGAGGCAGATGAAGGAGGTGCTCGGACCACCAGGGCCACCAGGGCCACTGTGGGTTTCTCAGTCTCAGCAACTGCACAGACACGTTCCTTTCTTCGGGACGTAGGAGAAGCAAATGTTGGGTGCTCAAACGGTTTCATTCCATCCTTCTCGGTGAGGCCCCAAAGCAGACAGAGAAAGGCAGGGGGGGTCAAGATGTCACATTGTGAGTCTTGGCAGTTTATCTGGTACTCGTACAGGCTTTCTTGTGGGATGGTGGTTCACACTTTCAAAATGCACTGAAGACAACAACTGCACATAAAGCAATGATGCTGGCGATGCGCCTTTTGCATGAACACAATGCAAGCAATGCAATTTCAATGCGTTGGTATCACCGATTTTGGCATCAACATCATCCACCTCCGCAGTTTTGGCTCAGTTTGCAGTGCGGGCTTTTTGCTCAGTATGACGCAGGGACTCTTCTGGGAAATTGTGGGTGGAGCGGACAAGGGTGGCATCCTAGTCCGAGCGGGCAAAGAATTGAAATCTGAGGAGAAGTCAGGGCGCCTATCGCATGGAGCTCTCGTGAGAGAAATTGAGTTTTTCGAGACCAACGGGCGCCTCCACTATGAGATCGTCAAAGGGACTGGGCCAGAGAACGGCTGGGTCAGCATTCAGATCTCTGGAAAGGAGTTAGCTCGGCGGACAGCGGCTCCTTTCGAGGATGATGAAGCAGCACCAGAGGACATGCCAGAAGCCGAGTGGCGCATCCACAGACGCTGCAAAAGAGAGAGACAGAGAGATGTGCCGGAATGGAAACCCATCTCCATTGAACAGGTCATGAACAATCACACTCGAGTTGCTCCAGGCATGTTTTATGGCCTTCATTTTCCATGGAGCGAAGAGATGTTGCTGAGCTCCAAATTTGGCGCTGAGTGGCTCACTCAGGCCATGCACGTGGCAGGGACCTTGCCCATGGATAACAAGGTGATGAAGGTTTCGGCAGACCCCTTCAAGATCACCACAGGGAACAATGGAGGGAAATTCCTCTTCGAAGTGGAATACCTTCACTCTTCACCCGACCTGCACACGCGACTCTTTGCGAAGATTCCTCATGCGATGGAACAAGCCACCCAGTCAGATCGCTTAAGCTCCTCCGTGAATAAACAACCCATGGAGTTCTATGAGTTGAACTCGTCTCGGCTTCTGGAAGCAACATTGCCGGTGAAGATTCCCCGGTATTACTTCGCAGACATCAGCAATGAAACCTCCAATTGGATTCTCATCACCGAGAGCATCGACTTCAAAGATCCCAAGAGATTGGATTTTGAAGGAAAGACTCGTGGAGCTCCCAAGGAACAACTGGAAGCTTTGGAGATTGAGGGTCCTTATGACAAATGCATGGATTGGTGTTTGAGAGGTGAGCCGAAAGACTACTACATGACCTTGGTACGCTGTGGTGCTCGTATGGCCGGATTGGCCCACAAGGGATGCTTCGGAGATTCAGAGGTGTTGGGCAAATACTTCGAGAATTTTGCCGCGTTGCCGTTTTCATCCTTCGGGATGAAAGCTGAATGCAGTGGTCAACCTCCAAATCAGTTGAAAACAAAGATTGATACAGCACTGAGCTTCATGGCCGACACAGGGAAGGTCTTGTTTCCTTCTTTTTGCCGCACTGAAGACTTCCAGCAGAAGCTCCGCAATACCCTGATGAAGTTGAATGCCTATGCAGCTGAGATGAATTATTGGTGCCATGCGGACAAAGACTACATCGCTTTCACACACAACAACCTGAACGTGGACAACGCCTACTTTTGGAGGAATGCCTCAGGCGAGCTGGAGTTGGGTGTGTTTGATTGGGGAAGCATGGGCTCCAGATCGTTGGGCTTTAAGATGTGGTGGTGGCTCTACTGCCATGAATTTGAAGACTTGTCTGCCAACCTCGACGCGTACTTGGAATGTTGCGTTTCCACTTTGCAGGACCTGGGGGTGGCCTCCAACCTACTAGCGATGGCCTCCAACCTACTAGCGATGGCCTCCAACCTACTAGCTATGGCCTCCAACCTACTAGCGATGGCCTCCAGCCTAATAGTGATGGCCTAATACATCGCATATTACGTTTCCAATTTGCAGGACTTTGGGGGTCCGAAGCTGCAGAAAGAGGTCTTACGAATGCAATTCATCCTGACCGGCCTGCAGCAGATGTTTGGCCTGGTGTCTGCCGTTGGTCAAATCTACAAGATGTGCCCCAAGAAGGAGTGGGCCACCATCAAGGATCGTTATGATCCAAGGGTTGGTGACAACATTCATGGAAAGAGCACCTTGAGACTCTACCTCCAAGTGATGAGAACGATTTGCCTGATTGTTGAAGAATGGAAGGCTGACAAAGTCGTTGATGACTTCGAAGAGAAAGTGACTGAGCTCTTGGGTGGGAGCAAAAAGGCTCCATCCACCATGCAAGCTTAGTCGAACTTGGGATCCGGATCCGAAGGGATCGATATGGATCGATCACCACGAAACAAAAATAAGAAAATGAAAAAGTGAATCTTTTGCTAGGGTGGAGGCCATCGCTAGGTTGGAATCTTTTGCGAACCCCCTTTTTCGCCGAGCGGTTTTCCCTTCGATCCCGCGAAACGGCGGCGATCCAAAGTATCGGCGATCTTCCGAACCCCCCCGACTGTGGCAAGCGCTGCCAGAAAGGGCGCTGACAGGGATGGATTGCTTTTCAAGTTTTGGCCCTTGTTACTAGTATCTTTTTGCTACTAGTAACAAGTGCATTACTACTAGTAGCAAATATAGCTACTAGTAGCTTCTTGCTACTAGTAGCGATGCACCTGTTGCTAATAGCGACGCCGATACCCTTGTTACTAGGCATCCTTTACGAAGCCTATTTTTCTGGAAGCCGCTATAGATCGCGCTATAGATCGCAGGTTTCTGCAATTGACCCCTTGCCATTCTTTTGCCAAGGAATCTTCATGTATCAAATGCTGTGCATGCTTGTCTTGGCCATGCTTGTTTGTGCAAGAAGCTTTGCTACTAGTAGCTTCTTCTTGTTCCTAGTAGTAAGGCCAGGAGCCCCTAGTAGCGTCCTTGCTCCTAGTAGCGATGCCCTTTGTTCCTAGCTTCTTGGCCATGCTTGTTGCTTTGGCTCCGGCTCAGCGGCTTTGCGGTTCAGCACACCCGACACTCTGGTCCAAAGCGATGGCGGCGACTCAAGGCACACCCGACAAGAGGCCAATGCGCTCACTCACAGAGCCAGGCACTCAGCATTGCTCAGCATTCCATCGTAACCAGTTTATTTGTATTTTTACACAGAAAGAAAGGTCTAAGCTAGTTTGCTATTAGGTTGGAGGCCATTGGCTCGTAATTAGGATGGAGATGGATGGAGGCCATCGCTAGTAGAAACAGAGAAACGAAAGAAAGTACTAAGACTAGTAGCTAGAAGCTACTAGGAGCAAAGGGCATCGCTACTAAGCAAGGACACTACTAGGGGCTCCTGGCCTTGCTACTAGGAGCAATCGGACGCTACGAACGTAGCTACCATTTCTACCCTCTTCCTTTGGTCTCAGAAGTCGATACTTCCGTAGCGACGTAGACGTAGACGTCGCTTTTCGCTTTTCTGAGAAGCATAGGGTCTGGTTGAGCCCTGACGCTTACTTGGCCGCTTCTTTTGGAGGTACATTCGGTCGCCAGCTCAATTCAAACAGATCAAGAAGGAAGCTGGAAAGCAGCCCACCTGGCCTGTTTTATTGCTTTTAGACGAACAGAAACAACCCGGACACCTCGCCTTTAGCCGCGATGATAGGTCTAACAGGCATTGGGTGTCAGAACGGGGAATTTTGACTTTGCGAGTCTTAATCACGGCGTTCGGCGTACAGCTGAGGCATACAGCTAGCAGCTAGGGTTCTGAGACGCATAGCCAGGACAAAGCAGCAAACTGCTGCGAAGACCTTCTTCAGGAAGAATGAGGCCTGCACATCAAAGCGTTCGAGACAAAGGATACCATTCTTTTCTGCACACAGCTTTGAATGGATGTCTTCAAACTACCAAAACATACGTAGTTGTACAGTGTTCTACGAAATGCTTGAAACATATAAGTTTAACTAATGAACATCGTGTCTAAGTTGACAAATGTGACTGGAACTACAACAATTGTTTTAAGGCTGTCAACAAACCAAGTCGTTGCAGGCGCAAATGGTGGCAGACCTGTTTCGTGCACGTGTGGAGCAAGAGTTGGAGGAACACGTGGACGAATTGGATTCGTCAGCTTCCATTTTTACCGCTTTGGCTGGTTGACCCGTTTCCTCTTCACTACTTGTTGTGCCTCACAATTCTGTTGGAGGCCATGGCTAGTAGGTTAGAGGCCATCGCTATTAGGAAGGAGGCCGTTGCTATTAGGTTGTTTGCGACTTATTATGCCTCGCCATGCTATTTCACCCTTTTAGAAAGATCTAAGCAACATGCAAAGGAGGAAGTGGAGGGCTGGCGGGTCACAGACTTTTATGGAGATCTCACGCGCAAGGAGTGGGACCTTGGATTGTGAGGGCTGAATGTTGCTGTGGATCTACAGACTCTTAAAGACACAACCAGAATCAAGCAGACTCTTACAGACGCTAGTAGGTTGGAGGCCATCGCTAAGAATCAAACACACTGCAGATCACTGCTTAAACCAGATCGCTCAGGCCATTTTGAAGGTGCAAGTCGGTCAGGAGCACCAAAAGAGCGCTTCGTTCGGGTTTTGGAAAAAAAGCGGCGGCTTGAGCTGCGACGAGTTCCGCCTTTCAGGACGAGTTCGTTCACCTCTATGCGACAAGGCCGTGAGACAGAGACACAGTGGTTCAGTGTTCCTAGTAGCGAACATTGTTACTACTAGTAAGGCACCTGTTACT